TAACATCTCCAACGGTTAAGTCCAATGGAAGGTTTCCATGTGTTTCCACTGAACCTCCAGTAAAACCGCTGATAGCCACATCACTAGGAATTACATCCTCAACTGTCTTGCCCAATTTCCTCATGACATTAATAGGAACAATATTCAGAACTAAACCATTGTCTACCAAGACTCTTGAAAGTGGACGACCCTCAATTAGTACCTTTATATAGAGTGGCTTCAACTGCTGAGTCATTCCAATAGGGGGTTTCTCCAAAACTACCTTTTTGGAGTTGGAAGTACGTCATCTTGAATTTCAATTTCACAAGGCTTTTGGAAAGGCTCAGCTTCTTTTTCTGAAAATTCCTCTATAATTTCTTCTATGTGTATACTATCAACCTTTTTCTTTGGAACTAAATCTAATTCAGCAACTTCTGTTTCTTTCGGAATTGACTCGTCATCAGCAACATCACCTATCATTGAAGATGGCTGATTTGGTTTGGATTCAAAAACCAATGGAAGGATAACAACCATATTGTATGACATTTCCTCCGGAAAGCTCCCAAAATGGATTTTCTTCAAACTAGATGAGTTCTCAAAACTCTCCAGTTCTTTTATTGGGATTTCCTCTTGCGCTTTATCCTCTTCCACAAGGGATTGTTCTAGCTCAGAAGCAAAGTTTTCTAAACAGTCCGGGACTCTATCTCTTCCCCTTGCCAATTTCTTGGTCAGGTCTATGGGCTTTTGTGATACTCCTCGATTCTAGAGCCACGGGTGATCAAGTCCGAGCACAGATCCGAGGGATACCAAACAATTAATATGTAATGCGAACACAGAATACAAAATGAATTTAATAAATAAAAGTTTAAAAGCTGAAAAGAATACTAAACATAATCCTTGAAATTAAAATACTTGAAATCTAATTATCCAAAACCTTCTTAGAAAGAATCCTTCAATAATTTTACAACTCGGGAATCCACCTCTAGTGGACCCCTAATAACAATTTCAAACTGAAGGTAATTAAATAACCGAAGATAAAATCCAAATCTAATATAAAGAAATAAAGTCCTACATTGTCGGTATAATGGAAGATCGTCTCTGCTCAGCCTAAACAATCTTTAGACTGGAAGCGCCCATCACCTGAAAAATAATAAGTGGGTCAAGCCCACTAGCAAGTTCTATACTACTACTACCCAAGCAGAGACCCGATACACATGTACATCCTAACCAATCCAACAATAATTAATAGTCCGTAGATATATATATATATATATATATATATATATATATATATATATATATATATATATATATATATATAATCACACTACAGGACTCTTACTGGACTACAGGCCCGTCTCAACCTGACTAGTAGGCATCATGCAAAACGCACCCAAGGTGGGCATGACTACCTAGACCTAGCAGGGTACACATCCAACCATCATAGCCAGCTATGCATCCCAATGCATATACGCTCCCTAGCCAACGACTCTGAGACTCAGGTTCATATTGTGGCACCATAAAAATATATTTAAATTCCATTTCAAACCAAAGTGTCACTCAACTATTTAGTGATCTGACACAAAACACAAGTAGGACTTAACTTTTGTAGTTAATCCATCCCTTAATCCAGAGTAGGTAGGACTTAGCGTTCGTTTGAGCTAATCCCCCTAGTATGTCACCGTCCCATACCAGTGCATACAAACCATGCATCCAGTATTGACAATATATGTATAACAGCATAACATATCAATATCAACATATCCAATCATAAGCATAACAAGAATGTTTACTAGCATGCTTGTTCAATACATCCAGTACCTGATTCTCTCACAAGTTTTAAATGCAGAGAACAAATATAATCACCCTGTAACTCACAACAAGCATAATAATAATAACAAAATTAACATACTTATTGATACCAACTCCACAACATCCAATAAGTTGATATAAAGAACTCTTTATAAACATCAACTAACTTCAGATTATATGATAACAGAATTTATATAAACTGACCTCTTTAAACTCATACCATTGTTACACGATTTAACCATAAACCCCTAATTTAATTGCTAACTTAGAATTAAACAACTTGAATCGTCTGCAAAATCTCAACCATGTAAACTTCCTTAAAAGTGACTTACTGACACTTATTCCGATTATAATCATTCTATAATCTAATATGCTTAATTTAAATTACAGAAACATGATTACACAATATTCCCATTCCTAGACAAAATTGCAACTCATAGGGTCCTGCACTTAAAATCCTCTGCCTCCAAAACAGTCCACAAGTTCACTTGAAAATACAACGGTTTAAAACTACCGACTTCTTTGTAATTTATTATGTATTAACACACCCTCAAAATTTTAATAGGACTTAGATGCTACTGGAACATCCCTGCATAGCTCCTAATAGCATCTAAAAACACCAAATTCTGAAACCCGTAGCCAAAACCATCACTGAAAAGGCGAAAAACTGAAAACCGTTGAAGGAGCCGCCTCCAACCAAGTTGGAGCCGCCTCCAAAATGATGGAGCCGGCTCCAAACATTGTTGGAGCCGCCTCTAACTCTCTTTGAGCCTGCTCCAAGTTTTCTTGGAGCCGCCTCCTTCCTCCTCCCCTCCTGTATGCTAGTTTCTTCAACTGCGGCTTCTCCGGTGACGCTCAGTGCTAACAGTCCTCCACTTTAATGGTTTCTACTGATCTAAAATTAAGTCCTAGTGTGTTCTAGAGTTTAATAAATTCATTAATTATTATTCAAAACCATATGAAACAAGAATTTTGCAAAACCGTTTCTAAGTGGATTAAAACCCATACAAGAATACATACTATTCAAATTTGTTTAATCTTTCAAACCCACTTTTTTTCCAGTTTAAAACTAAAACCCAAGATGCTCCCAAGTAATTTAAATTCATTATTCATTAATTAAATTCAATTTGAAACAAGAATTAAACACAAACAGTTTTAAAAAAAATGAATAAAACACACATTCAGGAAAACATACTGTTATGAAGCAATTTATGTGTAAAGCAATTTAATTTAAATCTTTATTTCATCCTGAGACTGTATTAGGGATGCAAAGAACACGGGTCAAAGAGATAGAGTTAGTTATAGAACTTGCCTTACACCGACGGTTCTTCACAAGTTCTCCGGTAACCTCTCTGTTTGCTCTTTCTTTCTCTGTTCCCTCTATGCCTCCTTACATTTTTGTTTAATTGTTTCTCTAACCCTAAACCACCATAATGAGCCTATTTATAAACTTAAACTTTAAACCCTAATCCATGTATAATACAGCCCATAAGCAAACCTAGGTTATACACTGTCGGCTGTCAAAGCAAACTATAAACCCCATGAAACTATATTCACGTGAAATCCAATTTAAATTTAATTTAACTTAAAACAATTTAATTACATCACATTAATTCCTCATTTATATTAAATTCCATAAATTCAAAGTAACATAAACAAAGAAGTAAATTAAGTCAAATTATCATAAGCAAAGAAGTAAATTAAAATAATTAAAGAAAATAGAACAATTAACTTAAAGTAAATCCATAATTAAATAAAGTAAATCAATTAAACTTAAAAATGTAATTAAATAAATTCCAAAACTATCCTTCTAAAAATTAGGGGTATTACAGCTTTCTTACTTCATTTTTTGCTTTCCAGCCATGATCCTCCTCCTATTGCTTTCTTCCCTCGGCTCTTCTCCTTTGGAAACGACGCTTCTGTGTTCGCGTGTAAGCTGCATCTCTATATCTGGGAAACTTGGGATGGTCCACCCTTCTCCACCTTTCTGAATAGGGAATTGGGGGCTTGACCATCCTTGGATTGAGTATTTTAGTATCTTTCTTTACCCAGACCTTTGAAGTGACTCTGTGCTTTCCATGAGTAGCATCAGCAAACTCCTAATCTTTTCTGATAGGTCTTTCTACCTTCTCTGCATTAAATCTAGAGTCTCTTTTTCTAGGCGGAACAACGCTTCTTTTCTCATAATCCCTTGCCTCCATGTTCTTGGGCGAAACCTGAAGTTTTCTGTATATTCAGGCCTCTTTTGACTAATAGGTCTTCTGTCAACATGCCTTTCTTTGGTTGGAATGGTTATAATAACTGATTCTACCGGCTGTTGGAAAGTCAGTCTGTTATGAACCTTTCTTTTCTGACCACGCTCCTCACTTGATGTTTGTTTCTCCTTGTTCTTGCCCACCGATTTATGAACCTTGCATTGAGGGCAACATCCTTGCTGGATGAGGACAATTTGAGCTTCTCGGAGCTACCTTTCCAATTCTGCCATAGTTTTTTCCAATGAAATTGACTCTGACTCGGCAATTGCTTTCCCTTTAGCCTTTCCTTCGTCCAAGTCCACTTTCTTTCTGGGATGGTCAATAGCAATACTAATTACATTAGTAGTGACTACTGCTAGAAAAGGATTCCCATCTACTCCCATTGCTTCACTTTTTTCTGGAAACTTTATCTTCCCCTCCTCGATCGCTTTCTGCACAATATTACGAAAAATAACACAATTATTAGTTGAGTGTCTTCAAGAATTGTGATACTTACAATATTCTTTTCCAAGTAAATCGTTCGGAGTTGGGAGTTTATGCCCAGGAGTTAGGATTAGCTGCTTGTCATCCATCAGCAAGTCAAATATTTGCTCAACCTTGGTAATGTCAAAGGAATATCCTTTGGTAGAATCTGGTATCCCTTTCTTATTTGAAGTGGAAACGGCTTGGGCACTAGCAGTAGTTACAGATTTTGATTTTACAAGTGCCTCACAAATATATGGCTTTTTGATGTTTAATTTTGCCATATGGACCTCAAAATCACTATCAAGGTCAGTAGTAAAGACTTCATAATTTGGATCGCGATAGTAAGTTCCTTTTGAGGAAGCTTTCCTATCCTTCTCCATGAAGTAACCTTTCATACTTGGTACTCACCAAGTCAAAGAGATCGCGAAATTTTATCCCTTCAAATTTCTTGCACAATTCAAGGTCTAGACCATTGACAGCCATTTTGATTTACTCGATTTCTGGAAGATCTACATGATACTTGTGCTTTGCCTTTCTGAATCTGGACAAAAAGGCTTCTACGGACTCTTCTGACAATTGGTTAAGCTTAGAAAGATCAGCCATGGAAACTTCTGGCTCAGTTCGATAGAAATGTGAGTGGAACATTTCTTCAAACTGATGCCAACTATTAATGAAATTTGCAGGCAAGTTAGTGTACCATCTGAAGGCATATTCGGTCAAAGTATTAGAAAACAACAGGACTTTCAACCATTGATTGCCTCCTGCTTCACCGCATTGAACTATAAATCGGCTTATGTGTTCCACGGTGGACTGGTTGCCTTCGCCACTGAAAGTGGCAAATTCAGGAATTCTGAAATTCCTTGGATATTCAACATTATCTGCGAACTCAGGGTATGGTTTCCTATAGATAGGTCTTCCATCCCTTCTAGTCAAACCAAATTCTTGCTAAAAGAATTAAGCAAGTTGGCATCTATCCATCACCGGCAACTGAACTGGTGGTTGGTAATTCTCCGGTTATCCTTGTGGTTGGTTGGCCATGGGCTGCCCCCCGAACATCACTGGAAGTGTGTTTAGGTCTGGGTTGTTCCTCCAGCGACCTCTATTGCCTCCTTCTTCAGGGGGCTCCCTTGGTATGTTCGGCCCCCCCTACTACAGGAAAAACCTTAGGTGGTCTTTGAGGGATGGTAGGAGGTGGCTGAACATTTTGCTGGCCAACATTGGGTGGAAAATACAACTGATTTCCCAATTGACCTGCCTTAGCTGTTCCTTGAGAAGACCTAAATTGATGCAAATTGTTAGAAAAAACTTCATGACTAACCTGTTGAGGCATAGTCACAGGAGTTGAATTTTGCATTTGCTAGGTTACTGGAATGGACATCATTTGCGCAGGTGGAATTTGCATTATCTGTGCCTGTGGTATGGTACTCACAGGTTGATGAGACGGACTTCCCTCAACAAAAGTACTTGGCTTATTCACTGGAACGGCTGATTGCTGAGAATCTTTTGAATTGCTTGGCTTGCTGGCTATGCTTTGGGAAAGATTAGCCAAGCTTTGAGGGACGCCGACCATGCTTCTAAAAAGACTGACCATACTTTGATTAAGATTGGCTATACCTTGAGGAATATTGGCCATACCTGTAAAAGACCGCTCAAGCATAATTCCCAATTTGTTGGTCATTTGGTCCACCAAACGTTCCAGCTTTCGGTCTTGTGCATTTGCAACTTCTATTTGCTCATGAGTATTCTTTTCTTGATTATGAGCTATCGAGTGTAAAGTTTCCATGATAGGTTCGTTTGCTTTGACGAACCTTGTCACCAAATTTTCTCCTTCTTCAGGAACGGCATGCAAACTTTCATCAGGAAATTCAATAGCCTGTTCCTCTTCAATTTCAGCAGGATCTTGAACAGATTTGCCGTGTCTTTGTCCTCCCGCCATACAAACACTCATTTCAGAATGTCCCGCCGGGCGTGCCACTATGTCTGGCCTCAAAAAAGCTGGTGCCAGCTCCGATGGAACCGGATGGGCATGCCAGGAACTGTAGTAGTTCCAAAGAGAGATCAAAACAATATTCCAGAAGGAAGACTGCGGGACTAGGCAATTGTGAAGAGGTCTGGAATGAACACCTCTGGGTTCTTTTTGCCTTTGATAAAGGACTTTGGGAAAATTAACTGGCTAGGGAGAACTGTAAAATTATTTATGAAAGTAAAACAATTATCTAATGAAAAGTAAAGTGCAGGATTGAAACTAATCATATTGAAAGTGCATTGCAATGAAAAGTAAAGTTGTATTGAAATGCTGTGTTTGGTGTTGAGCCCCTATTACGTTATACATAATGACCTATTTATAGAATGAAATATACAATTAGTTAATAATAGCAGTTCCATTGATGCCTTCAAATGTTTCTAAGTGTCCAAGCTATGCAATCGTGTTTTCTTGATTCTTCCAGAATTCCCACGTTCCTTTCCCACGTTCCAAACATGTAACTGTGCGAACGTGCTTCTGATTCTTGTAGAGCTCCAACGTCCCAAACATAGAATCGTGTCTTGGTTTTCCACCTTTGATGCTGTTAATAGATAGCATGATTTCCTTTGTTTGAATGAACCGCCATCACATCTATTTTCCTGGATGGTGGTAGTAGTGGCCCCAAACATGCAATTTGGTTATGGCTATAGTGGTTTTTAAGGAAAACCGACCTCCATATTTTTAGGAACTCCTCTCTCCACGTTTAATAATAGACACGTTCCTTTGACCAAGTCATCTTGTTCCTACGTGACTTCTCCTGTGTTAGACTTCCATATCAATAAAACTGTCAAATAAATCGATACCCATGCCCCACGTGTCCTATTTCAACTGGAGAAGTTGTTTTAAAACAAAAAACCATCAACCACTTGTAATTAAAATTCATTGAGTTTAGCTTGACCCAAACTCCTTCATATATCACAAACCAGCTCAGCCCATAACTCCTTCCATGTGTGTATTTTCCATTGGGCAAAAATAAGGGTGTAAACAGGATTAAGGAAAGTAATAGAACAAAATGACCTCAACATTTAAAAAATAGAATAAAATAAAGATTTGCTGTCTTGAATGATCCATTTTAGAAGAACCAAATTTCTTTGAGTTACTTGAAAATTGAAAATTAGGCATCAATGAAAATAATTAGTATAATAACTATGACTTGAGTTAACCATGAGTGGAAGACCTATAAATAATTAAGGTGTAAAACTAAAATTTATATTATATCATAGATAAACATGAACGAATAAACAATAGGATCATTTTTTTAAAATAAGGTAAAACATAAGGTAAATCTAGAGAAAGAGCAAGAAAAATCAAGAACATGCATTAGCAGTTATCAATAAAATGGCAAAACAAATGAGAGAACTCTTAGACAATCAATATGAGCAAATTGGAGTATGGAGAAGAAAAATAAAACATTTAAGAGAATTAGAACTATAAAAGTATTTGACATGGGCTATTTTGAACAAATTTTCTGTAAATTTAATTATATTATAAAATAGAAAAAATATAATATTCACATATTTTAGAAAATTCCCTTAGCATATTGGGGATGAATTAGAGGAAGAATACAATATATATATATATATATATATATATATATATATATATATATATATATATATATATATATATATATATATGAGTCAAGATCCGTAGAAGATCATGGAATCACTATGAACAATACTCAATACTAAATTTTGCTAAAGAACAGGTATAATGAATTGGTGTATTAAAAAAAATGAACAAAAAGTAGCGGTAAAATTGACTTGTAAAAATATATATTAGGATGTTGTATCAAATAGAATTTACTGGATACATTTTATATTTGTTTTAAATACTTCCAAGTTAAAAATGCAGTTGCTATTCCTATTAAACGACCTTTAGGTATGGGTTGGATTCAGTGTCCGAAATATTGAATTTGCTGTCTTAGTAACTTTTAAAATTGACCGATAATAAATCTGGAATCTTACTCTCATCTTCTTTTAATTGTTTTATTCTTGATCTTGTGAGACAATTTCCTTCTATTTGCCATGTTGTTTTGTAGTGTGTTGGTGCAAACAATTTATAGACCCTTGAGATGCCTATGCTTCAAACTTTCCAGAGCTGAACACTACCAACTTTCATTGGAAACTTCTAAATTCATATTTGAAATAGTAATCTGGTAAATACTTTAGAGGGAGCAAGGAAAATAATAGAACAAAATGAACTAGACATATTTAGAATAGAATAAAATGAAGATTTGCAATCTTTAATAATCCATTTTAGAAGAACCAAATTTCTTTGAGTTCCTTGAAAAAAATAAGTAAAATAATAAAACAATTAAAAAAAATTAGGAGTTAATGAGAATAACAAAATAGAAAATATACTTCCAGTACTGAAAGATGAAGGGATTAGTACAAAAGGTAAACAGATAACAAGTGAAACTGGTGGAAGAAGAGAAGAAAAGAGGAAGTTATCAATTAGGAAGGTAAATACGAAGAAAACAATATAAAATGTTAAAAGAACTGAACTGGACATGTAACTTGGGTTGGGTACAACTCGAAATCAATCAGAGTCCATCCCGGTTTTTGCAGGTCTAGGGTTGTTGGGTTTGAGTTGAGGTGTTAGGAATCAGAGCCAATCTGAATACGAATTCTAATATTATAGATGGTTTACCAACCTTCTTTGCTGAAAGAATCAGGATAAAGCTTAGAGATATGAATAATGGTATCTCTATCCCTTACAGAAACTATACCTATGGTGGATTAGTCAACATTGTAATCCAGGAAGGTCTAGCTCTCTGTAATGATCTGAAGTTACAATCCCAGTTAAAGTCCCAAAGATTAACTGGTCGAAAGGAAGTAGGTGAATTTTGTGATCAATTTGCCTACCAGACTCCCTTATCTTATCCTAAACCTAGGAAAAGAAATAAGGTTGAAAAACCTTATAAAAGGAAGTATTCCAAACGAAAGAATTATTCAAAGGAAAAGGATAATTCTAGACAGTATACTAAGCCTAAAAGGAAATATACTCCTAAAGCAAAGGGTAAAGGAAAACCCAAAGCTGAGGCTAAATGTTTCAAATGTGGACGTATTGGCCACTATGCAAACAAGTGCAGAACTAAGGAGAAACTCAGTAGTCTTCACATAGAAGAGGAACTGAGACTTCAATTAAGTAAATTGTTACTTAATACTAGTTCTTCTGAACCAGAATCATCAAGTGATTACGGAGATATTGTCATGGAATTACAGTCTTCTTCTTCCTCTGAAGCAGAGATTGAAAACCCTAGATGTTCCTGTAATCCTTCGCATGATGATTATTATAAGGCAATTGTTGAGATGAATGGACTAAGCTTAAATGTTTTGACTTCAACTCAACAATCCTTATTAGATCTTATAGATCATATCCAGGATCCTCAAATCAAGATGAAAGTCTTTGAAATAGGTTCTGCTTTGGCACGATCTAATGAGGACACGGATAATCCAGATTTTCTGCGAGCAGAAAATCATTACAGTATGAAAGAAGTTCTAAGCAGATTAGAACACCAAGGACAAAATTCTCGTCTTGCTAATCTCCCTGACCTCAGAATGGAGATTAATCTTTTAAAAGAAGAAATTCGTCAATTAAAGTCTCGTCAGACTACGATGGATTTGGAGATTACTCTTTTAAAAGCAAAATCTGCAATCCCATCTCCATCATCCAATGATGAAGTTCCTCAATCAGAAGGTACTAATTATCTTCAACTCTTGAATCAAGTTACTTACCAAAAATGGTATATTTCTATCAATTTGGTAATTAATCAAGAGTACACAATCACTAATGCAATTGCCTTAGTTGATAGTGGTGCAGACATGAACTGCATACAGGAAGGTTTGGTTCCTACTCAATACTTTGAGAAAACCACTCAAGGTCTTACCAGTGCAAGTGGAGGTAAGATGCAGATTAAGTATAAACTTAATCATGTTTTCATTTGTAAAGAAGGTATTTGTCTGCCATCTACTTTCTTACTCATCAGAAACCTGGCACAACAAGTTATTTTGGGCACTCCCTTTTTAGCTTTGATTATGCCAATTGAGAAAATTGATTCTCATGGAATATGCTCTAATTTACATGGTCAGTCAATTACTTTCCAGTTCTTGACCCCACCAGTAAATAAGCATATCAATGCCCTTAAAGATAACATTATCTTTAAGGAAAAGCAACTGAATTATTTGCAAAAGGAGGTATCCTCCTTAGCAATTAATCAAAGATTGGTACAACCCACTGAGCAACAGAAAATTGAGTCACTACGGCAACACTTTCTAAAAGAAATCTGTAGTGAGATTCCTAATGCTTTTTGGGCCAGAAAGAAGCATATTGTTTCTTTACCCTATGAAAAGGGGTTTACCGATAGCATGATTCCTTCTAAAGCTAGTCCCAGCCACATGAAAGCTGACTACTTGGAATTATGTAAAACTGAAATCAGCTCTTTAATGGCTAAAAAGCTTGTCACTACTAGCTACTCCCCTTGGAGTTGCAGAGCTTTTTATGTCAATAAAAATGCTGAAAAAGAACGAGGAATTCCTCGATTGGTTATTGATTATCGGCCACTTAATCTTACTTTAAGTTGGATCAGATACCCAATTCCCAACATCAAAGATCTTTTAGATAGGTTACAATCTGCTGTGATCTTTTCTAAATTTGATCTTAAATCTGGATATTACCAGGTACAAATTACAGAAGAAGACAGGTACAAGACAGCCTTTTGCGTACCTTTTGGACAGTATGAATGGACAGTGATGCCATTTGGGTTAAAAAATGCTGCTTCAGAATTCCAACATATTTTGAATGACATATTTAATCCTTTTACTGAATTTTCTATTGTTTATATTGATGATATTCTCATATACTCAAAATCAATCGATCAGCATTATAAACACTTGAAAATTTTCAAAGATGTCATTTACCGA